CCACCGGCCCGCGGTCGGCAGATTAAAAAATTCCCATTAGGGTGTTATCATTGGAGCCGGACCTCTTCAGGAATCCATTAACCCTTCGTGTCGGCGTCCATATTGCAATGGCAATCGCGGACGACTTTTAAGGGGCTCGTTCCGGTCAAACCGCTCGTTGTTTGGATATGCATGAATGTGCCAGTTGCTCATTTTAAGCGCATATGTTTAAACGAGTCAGCATTTTTCCGTGTGCATGCGTCAAAACACCCCATTTTGTCTAGCCCCGACTTGATTAAATCTACGTCGTTCATTCTGTTTCGGAGACTTCTGGGTGTCATCAGTCAGAACGGCAGAAATGAGTAGACTATGCAGTTGATTCGGTGTGTTTGAGAGTGCATTTTTAGCTGTTACAGCAGAGTAACGAATCCCTTAAATATTCCCTGATATACCGCGTGACCAGGCCTAATTCTGTTCGCTGACAGCGTGCCCCATGCAGTGATCAGGTTGCCAGTATGCCTGGACACAAAACGGTCGTCTGACGCGGTCTAGGGGGCTGTTAGCAACCAAAATATATCAGTCACAAAACATTGTTTACCGCAGCTGCTTTGTTAATGCGTCAAAGCTAAATATTTCAGCCACAATTCAACGATGTTTCAGTGACAAAAAACAACTTTTTGAATTTATCATGCAGCCGTCGCCATCGCCCCCACCTCCCCGAAAAATATCGTCAAAAACCTACGTTTGAACGCCGACCTCCGACTCGCACATTCGGCGGAACAAACTGCTTCAACAGACGATGGCAGTAAACCTAGGCATTTTCGCCAGGCTTGCTTCACCTCTGCCACTCATTAGAACCCACCCGTCCCCTGTCCTGGCCTCTGGCTTCCTCGCGGGCCACCTCCAGCGAGTCTGCGGGGCCGGAGTTGGCGTCGGCACCGCGCCCGTGGCATCCATTACCCGATGGGAGGCTGCTACCGGCTGGCCGGCCCCTTTTCACCCCACTGACGAGCGCGGTGATTCGTCACGGCCCCGAGGCGATCGGTCAGGTCAGGTCAGACGTGAGGGTGCAGCGGCCGCGTCTGCACGACCGCGGCCGCGAGGTGATGGTATCACATCCATCTAGTTATACTGATGAGCCTTTTATCTAGGTGGAGATTTGCGAAGATTCCCGAAGGGTGGTGGTGGACGGAGCGTATGATTCAGAAGCGCAGCGAGTCGGTGAAGATCAATATTCAACGCTCCAGGAGAAAATCGACAAGCATGCATGTAAACGCTAGTAAACGGTAGGAATACTCTGTCACAGGAATAGTACCACCCTAGAACAAATTAGACTTAGGGCCACGGATTCATATATGGCATGTGTCTCATTAGGCCTACAAAGCCCTTTGTTCTCTTTTTTGAACCCTGAGAACTCAGATTTTCCCTTTGAAACAGCGCTTTCCGAGAAAAGTTTCCATCGGACTCCTGGCTCACCACGATTGAAAAGCATCCAGCATACAATAAGGAACGTTTCCTCAGTATGTGCTGCAGCCAAATAGCTTCCGTGATAAAATGCATGCGATGTTATGGTGTCTTGCCTAGATAACCATATGGCATACGCTATTCACTTTATTATAGTTAAGAAAAAATCCCATAGATCAAGGCTTCTGCGGATGAGAAAAACCATCCAGTCAGCAGGGTCCAAGCTTAACCGCAACGAATTGCGCCGAAGTAGTTCGGATCTTCGAGACATCCGCTCTGCGCTTAGCTAGCAGCCTGATGATGGTGGTGGTGATCCTTGACGCGAGTTAGTGCTGTGTATTATAGCCTGGGCTTAAAGTCTGATAAAACATTAAATTGGCTACAACTAATTTGCTTACTTAGCACTTTGTTTGGACCCGATTTAACTTTCCGGTGAATTATATACCGTGACAGCTCATTGCAAACAATTTTTGTGCTGCCATTCCTGTCAGCACGGTGGCGTGTGAGATAGGTACCACGATAGAAACCACGAATTATATCGCCCATATGTTTTTCCGCGGTCATTTCATGATACGCAAACATCGTCCACTGATCAGGCCTCCCGCATCGCCTGTGGAGGAGTGTCTCGCCACCTTTCTTCCTCCTCCGGCTGGTACCGGCGCGCGCTCTAACACAACACCGGTGACTAACCCTCCCCAGCGCCATGATTAGCGCCGATGCGTCCAGCCACGCGCCGAGCGACCCGGCACCCACTCCCGGGGGGCGTGGGAGGGCCTTTCAGTCACCTTTCTGCCGGTCGGGACGGCGCCCGCGCTCCCGGCCAGCGCCGGCCGGGGGATTCGCTGCGGATGATCAGACGCATCTGTCGGTCGCGCGGTGCTAATGCGCTTACACGCCGACTCAATGCGCCACCGACGCTGATGACGAATTAATGCTATAGTTGGCAGCGGTGTAATCGCCGTCGAGTCGCTCCTCTATTGTGTCGGCCGGCGGCGCGGACGAGATGACGGCCATTGAAGTCGGCTGCAGCGCGTCCGGCCGCCAAGTTTGGCCGACGACTTTGGCCACTGGCTCGGCGAGCACGGACGGCTATGGGCGAACCGGAAGCGCGCTAAAGTCGGAAAGATATCTAGATTTAGTGGCGGTTTTCTCTATAATTAAGCATGCTAAGGATCGTGCATTATAATATCAAGCGCTGAAATATATTTGATCGAGTCGCGCCAGATTTCACCGTCATCTCTGTATGGAGATTGTGGATGGGACCGCGTTCTGACCGCCATGCCCTACGCTTTCACCCGTTCGGTTTTTGCTGTCGATTGTTTTTGACGGTCTCGATCGATTTATTTGTCGTCATCATAACCATTGAAAATCAATGCCGCAGCGTTGTAAAAGGGAACATTTGTTCAGCTTATGTTAAAACGTCTGAACAATGACTTTATCAAATATCTCAGAAATTGTCTAACTGCATCTAACCGTACCCGAGAGACAGAAAATAACCCGGGTAGGTCATACCATTTGCTTGGGCTGAACCACCCATCAGTGGTTACTGTGCACCGAAAGCAATTTTATTGGGGTCTGGTCTGCACCACAAGATCTTTTGTTTAAAATAACCGACCTTCAATATATCCAGAGGCACAAGTTTACCGAGACTATCAAAACATCGTTAGGATATTATCTGTTTCGATAGATTGTTGGGTATTTTTATCTTTTCGATCACCATTGCAAGTTACTTCAGATGTTAGATTTTACACAAGTACTACACATAGTGTACGTGTTACATATTATTGCGTGTCTTGAACTTTCTCAAAACCCCCCTCAAAACCCAAGAATGAACTCAACCTCCTAATATACTGAAGGCCGGTAATGTTGAGCATAACATTTCACAATGCCGAAAACTCTGGCGTAAAAGGCCGTTCGCGCTTGTGTGGTGAGGTCTTATCCACTTTGGCGACATTTTTTTAGTGTGAAATAAGAATAGCTGTGCCTGCTCTTAATTTGCTGAAGTTGAGACCTAGCAACCCAGGTGGTGGTTGCACAAATGGCTCTCTATCATTTTCATGGAGTCTAGCAACCATTCACGTTGATAACTCCGAACTAATCGGATTCGTTTTTTTGCCTTTCTCTGCAAGAGGCCTGAGGCGCACCAAACCGAGCCACTTTTTTCACGCAAACGAAATCTGACACGCGGCATGGAGCTTTTTCCTCAACAGCCTGATGCAACTCATGCACCAGGTGCACTGGTGGAACAGATTAGGAAAACTGATTTGCGCACTACTGCGCCAACATGCACCTGACACGAGCTGACATGAACCTGTTGACCTGGAAGCCGGGAAGTGAGGGGATATGCTCTAAACTCCAAATCAGGCATTAAAGAGGATTTCGCTGTGGCGACGATTGCACTAAACACGCTTCTGCCCCTCCCAAACATTTCTTGCCGGTGAGCCGAGGCCTTTCCGCTCTGGGGTCCGCACGTGCAGCGTCGCGAGACCGGGCTCGCCCCGGCCGCGAGCTGCTCGTCCCAGCGGTGCCGCCGGCGTGCCGCCGTTTTAATTATCTCCCGTAACAGCCATTTACGCTGGCACGACTCACTTTATCACGGGTGCTAACTGCTGTATCAATTATGCAGGCGTTCATCCATTATTGAGCGCCGCCAGCGGCGGCCGCCGTCCCACGGGGCGGGGTCAGGCGGCGCTCCCGGAGGCTGACACGCGGCCAGTGGTGGCCTTGCGTGACCTCGGCCGCCGCCAGCTACTTGGCACCGGCTCTGCCCTGATTTGTCGACACGAGACGAGTCGAGGCGGTCTGTTTCGGAACGGAAGGTATTCGACTGAGGAGTACTTTGAAGGGAGTTGCAACTATGCATTTGGTGCATTCGAGTGCCACGGTTTGAAGGTGTTTAGTCTTTTCTCAGTACGTCAACTGTATGAATATTTCCTTCTGTTGTACGGATCTTTTCTCTAAGGCTCTCTTTATCTCTTTCTCTTCCCCTGTCTTTCTCTCTCTTTCTCCCTCTCCCTCCCTCCCTGCCTCTTTCTTCTGCGGACTGTAAGACCTTTCCAGACCTCATAAATTAGAAAGACATCTCCTATGATTTTTAGAAATATGCGTTCTTTTCCGTCACCATCACGTCGCCCATATTAGCAAAACTGCCACCAGCGCAGTGCCCCTTTTCTCATTAACGTTCCAATTTAAACTTTTCGAGCACTCTACTCGGCTCTTTTATACGGTCGTTAATAGAGCTGCTTCGTGGTAATTTCTCGTCTCTATTATCCGATTACGGCGATTGCCGATCGGCAGAGCCGTCGTGCTGCGTCAGGACAGCGTCGCGTCGGCCGGTCTCCCCGCCGCAGGCCGCTCCACCACCGGGCTCGCGCGCGCCGGCCCATCTGCTGTCTCTGCGCTTTATAATGTAGCCGCTTCGTCGACCACCAGCTTTCGATCCTCGAGCGGGGGCGGGGGGGGGGGGGGATAGAATCTGCGTGAGGTCAAGGGTGTGGTCTGGGTGTCACGTGCCGCCGGAAGCAGCTTCGCCTCATGTCCGGCCTCTGTCGCTTCAGGCCTGCAGAACCAGAACGAGCTGCTCGACAAAGGCTATCAGCAAGGAGGCGCGCTGAATAAGAAGAAGAAAAAGAAGCGGAGACACAGGTAAGAAGCTGAAGATGCTATTGGGAATTGGTAAATGTGATGATAGAGTCGCGCGAACAAATTCTTGATGCAAACTCCTATGCATTGTATGGTTTTCAGTCATTCCAGCCCTTCATTCACATTTTCGTGAAAAAGTGTGACGAACGGTATGTGTTTTTCACCTTCTATTAACAACACAGAAATAGCACTGCATGTAATATTCTAACCTTCTTTTCAGGACCATTTTCACCAGCTACCAGGTAGAAGAGCTGGAGAAGGCATTCAAGGAGGCACACTATCCAGACGTCTACGCCAGGGAGATGCTGTCCCTGAAGACTGACCTGCCCGAAGACCGGATACAGGTAGGATTACAGAGCCATATGCGTGTGTGGAAAAAAAACGCCGTCTGCGTCAAGACAAGCCAGATCCATGGATTTTGGCTGACGCTCACAGGCGCAGCAAAGATGATGGGCGGGAGCGGGAGCCAGGGCCCCCTCTTTTTCCTTTTAGGGCCATAGATGGCTCCTGACAGAAAGCAAAAGATCGGCGTGATGAACTTTCACTGAATTCTGCCCCTTCTTAAGAAAATCATGTATCTGTCCCTGCTTAATTGGATCTGTTCTTAAGCTGAACCGGCGGCAGAACTGGACTGTAAATGCGTTATACATTTTGAGTACAGAAATCGCCATCCGAAAAATATTCATGCAAAGTTATTCGGTTGCGAAGGAATTCTCGCATTTGACGCCATTCAAAAGACAGTTTTTATTTTTGCGCAATGAATTGCCGTCTTAGGGGGCAAGGAAAAGCACCACGAATTGCTTTGCTCTCAAGAATAAGCAGCGACCTAACCTATCACTTGGCAACCTGGTAACCTGCCACCTGGTGACCAAACCAGGTACCACCCTTTGGTAAGGCGGCGAGCGACCCTGCACGTCTCTGTTCATGTCCTCAGAGCACTTTCGGCTCATTATAACTTCATAATCGTCATAATTGCCACGGGCGGCTCAGCTCTGTCGAGCATGGCCCCTGAACTGAGGGCTGAGCACAATCACTGCCGCCCTGCCAGCGATGATCGCAGACGCGAATTTCGTCCGGTATCCTGCAAGCGCGACCGCACCACACCGCCCGCATCCTTGTACTATTACCTCCCTGCTTCCCTGACCACTCTTGGTCGGCTGGGCAACGCCCCGAACCTGCCGGCACTATCGCCCCCCCCCCCCCCCCCCCCTCCAACTCACGGTCCGTTCCTGCTTGTGGGCGACCAGTTGGAGGCTGCGCGAACCGGTCAGCCGCTCTCGACTCGGAGTCTGGCTGGCCGCCAGTGACTCGGAGTCCGGCTGGCCGCCTGTGAGTCGGAATCGGACTGCCCAGTGGTTGTATTCGGGTGTCTCGCGATTCAAGACGCGACTCGGAGTCAACCGGCCAGTGACCCAATCAGGCTGTTCTGTGACTAGAGCCAGACAGCCCGGTGACTGGAGTCAAAGCGGCCCCGCACCCTTAAGTCGGCCCCTCCCAACTCGCAGTCGTCACACAGTGCTCAGACTCAGACCGACCATGACTCGGAGTCGGTCGGGCCTGTGACTCGCGGCCTTTCGCTCCGTGACTCGCGGCCGGCCAGCCGTGCCAGGTCAGCGTCACGCCGGCCGGTAAGCTGGCCAGGCATGCGCGGCCGGCCTGTGATGTGCCGCCAGCTTAGGCGGGGCCCCGGCCGGCTCCACACCTGTGAGCGCGCCGGATTACGACGGTGCCTCGCGCCCGCCGGTACCTCCCTACCGGCCGCCGCGCCCCCGCCGGCACGCTACCGCTGCTGCTGCTGCTGCTGTTGCCGCTGCTGCTGCTGCTGCTGCCGCCCGCCGGTGCCTCTCTGCCGACCGCCGCGCCCTCGCCGGCACGCTACTGCTGCTACTGCTGCTACTGCTGCTGCTGCTGCTGCTGCTGTCGCTATTGCTACCGCCGACGGCGCCGATACTGTCGTAGCACTGCGGCGGCGGTTACTGTCGGCAAGGTGGCCCTGGCTGTAGGCAACCAGCTGCAAACGAAGCAAGTGGCTGCAAGCTCCAATTGCATCGGATGCAGCAATATGGCTATGGGAGCCAGGTGCATCATGAAGACCTTCCAGCAAACAACAAGCCAGACTCAAATGAAGTGTTTCCTAGTTTTTCTTGAGACTCTGAGGCGATTTAGAGAGCCTCTTAATTTGCACGTAAGCTTCTTTGCAGGTGTCTGAGGACTCGCACTCAGAAACATGAGTTGCTCCGCGATGACAGACACAGCCTCCGTGTCTGCCGTTGTTGGTGGAGGAGCTCTTTGTGGTTCACACCCGCGCGTCCGTCTGGTTTACGAAACCGCCAGCCCAGACCGGCTTCGGCGGGTGTGGCGCAAGCCGCTCGGCCGGTGGGTCGGCTGGCGGACGCTGGGTTGATCAGCCAGCGGACAGTTGGTGGGCTGGCAGGCGCTGTTTTGGTCGGCTGGCGGACGCTGTGTTGATCAGTGGACAATTGGTCGGCTAGCGAACGCTGTGTTGATCAGTGGACAATTGGTCGGCTGGCGGACGCTGGGTTGATCAGCGGACAATTGGTCGGCTGGCGGACGCTGTGTTGATCAGTGGACAATCGGTCGATTGGCGGACGCTGTGTTGATCAGTGGACAGTTGGTCGGCTGGTTGGTCGGCTGGCGTGGAGAGCGAGCTGGTCGGCAGCAGGTGGGCTAGCTGGACGCCATGCTGCGCCGCCCTCCTCGCGACCCCGCACAGAGTCTCGCGGTTGCCGTGCGATGCGAGCGCATCCACAGCCACAGGGGCTTGATGCTGGCGCACACACTCGGCCGTCGGTTTTCCTGCACAGCCCCACGCCATGTTTCGGCAGCGCGGCGGCACGCGTGGCCTTTCCATCGCGTGCCCTGAACACGGCATGTGCTCGCGGCGCGGAACGCGCGGCGGCCCTCAGATGTAGGGCAGATGCGGCATGCGGTGCCCGACAAGGCGGCCTAATCTCGCATGCCGGCTTGAAAAAGGCTTCACCGCAGTTGTAGATCAAGTGGCACACCCATTCAGAATCATGGCAGCACCTCAGTATGGCGCCTGCTGCTGTCTTTGATCCGCCCCTCGGGCCGGCGCTCGCTCCGCGCGCCTCACGGCCTGCGGCGGCGCCCACTGTGTCTATCGTGGAGGCGGCCCGTAAAGCAGCACCACTGGGTCCCAGCGGTCATTTGGACAGAATTGGATGGTCGTTAGGAGGCGGGTGTGAAATTAGTTGGTTGCCATAAGGCCAGACACGGTATCAATTTGCACGCGCCGCGAAACTTCCGCTGCGTTTTGGAGCGGAGTATGACTGGGTACATGTGGCTCATGCGTGGTAGTCTAAGAAGGGCTTCTTTTGCCAGCTTTTCCCATTGTCAAGGCGCACGCAATGCAGAATTAACTTCGACAAGATTGTGTGAAGGCTGATGGGATCACTTTTGACTGGCCATTTTCGACAGTGTGCATACCATACAATGATGAGCTTGGTGCAGATATTGTGTGCATTGGCGTGTTTAATGGATATGTTGGTATACCTCCTTATTAGAATCATGCATCATGTTCCATTGCCTGCATTGCGTAAAGCCAACAAATTTAGGAAAATGGCGCTTGCTGGACAAACATTGCTAAACTTGAGAAAACGTTCAGCAAACATTGCTGTTGGCAATGCTCGGCAAACATAGCCAAATCGTCCGACACTGGGCTTTACGAATGGTTATCGAACTAAATGATTTTGTGCAGCATAGCTGCAGGTCTCGCGAGACCACAGCAGCCCCTGGAGAGGTGTGCTGAGGAGACCGAAGCTTGATTGATTGGTTTATGTGCATTAAGCGTCAAACGGGGCTCATGCCATGCTTCCCGGACTGAATAGAGACTGATCCCCGCTCCCACACAACGCCTTGTGTCCATACTTCTTGTGACTTAAACAAAGTCAAGGACGGGCTGCATTTCAACAGCGACTTACAAGAGCCTGGTCGGTTACTTAATGGACGGCCCGGGCTGGAGGTTCATTGGCTTAAGTAATCGTGGACTTTGCGATGGATGATCTTTATCTAAGATAAATCAAGTGGTGAAGAGTGAAGCGTCGGCATACAGTCTGTTCACGTGTCTGTCATTGCCAATCACGAAGGCAAGACACTGCATTGCCATCCATCAAAGGGCCTGGAAGCCGCAATAAAGCTTCTGACTAATTCGGAGCGTAAGCTTTATTTCCTTGGTAACAGGTGTGCTTTTGGAGTCGCAAATCCAGTCCTCGCGTGCTCGAGGCGTATTTTGGTAGAGCCGTGCTGAGCTGGTGTGGGTGGCAGGGGTTTTCATCCCTGTTTTGAATTTCCTGATGCCAACGGGATTATCTTTTCTAAACCGCTTAAACCTTTCGCAATTTCCACGGACTCATGGTGGCCTGGCTTGCAATGCACGAGGTCGTCTTGCCAGAGCAAACTCGGGCTGTAAGCCGGTTATCATGCAACTCGCCGAGTCTGCAAGGAAGCGCGCGCTCACTTCGATTCATGAGACATGGGTAAAATGGTAGGGACATAGGACATGGACCATGGGACATGAAACATGGGACAGGGGCATGGACTATGGGACATGAAACATGGAACAAGGACATGGGCCCTGGGACATGAAACATGGAACAGGGACATGGAACATGACACATGGGACATAGCAAATGGAACATGAGACAGGGGCATGGGACATGGGACATAGGACAGGAGGCAGGGACATGGGACAGGGGTGCGCGGCTCACGCAACGTCCCATGGTCACGATGGACAGGTACCTGTGCGTAACAATGATGTAACTGGCGACCACAACACTCGTTTGTGATTGCCCAGCGCGTCAGATTATTACCCCGGCGGCGCTCTGAGCTGGGGCCAACATTAGTGGAGTATGGCAACACAACAGGCAATTTGCCACGTAGGGCGTACTCTGCTCACCACGCTGGTTCCTGCTCAGTGGACTCCAGGCGCAGTGCTCAGGCCGATGGCACCACCAGTGCTCTTGAAGTCTGCGGCCATAGGACAGCCCAGAGCTAAGTCCAGTCAAGCATTATGACAGGCTGGGGCGCCGTGATATTGTGTGTGTGGAGGTGCAAGCAAGGGGGTGTATGCAGAGCGCAGTCTCGAGACGCCCCGAATCCAAGCGTTGGTGTTGTGAGACGCGGAGTGAAAATGGCTGTTCAAAGTAATGGCCAAGGACCCGCCCCTGGACGTTCCCTCCTCACGGGTCTCTGCCTCCCTGCCGCCTTGGCGCCCCTTCGCGTGCATTCTCTTACGTCACAGCCTCGCGGGCTCTCCGTTCTCCGTCATATCCGGAAGCCTCCCGTGCGCCCGTGACTCGATATC